CTTAATTTAACTGTATATAAAAATACACCTTGCTACGTGTACTGCGTTAGGCTAACCGAGACTTGTCATTTGCACTTGTATATTGTTGCTCTTTTGTTAGTTTTGATTGCTTCTATTGTCCTCATTTGTAAGTCGCTTTGGATAAAAGCATCTGCTAAATGACTAAATGTAATGTAAATGTAAATGTAATTCAATAATAAAGAGCTTTTAGAATGTTAAAAACCTATGGGGGGAAAAACTAAACAAAAACAAAATATTTAACACCCCTCCCTACCCACCCCCACATAAGCAGGATGGTAGTGATCTCACACAGTTCTGACAGTGTGTGCACACATCTACAGTATGTGTAGCCATTCATCCACATTTGAACAGAGTGGACAGTGAAATCCTGTAAATACAGAGTGATAAGGAAGAAAAAAAAATCAAACCTGCTTTAAAACCCAACAACACAACTGTAGCTGTATAACTTTACAACAGCAACACTGCTTTAACAAAAAAGCAAAACAGCAAGACTTATTTGACATCAAAACAAAAAATTTAAAAATGCTGTCTAATCGCTATCGCAGTACTTTCATGTCATACACAGAACGGTCTGTGCAGTGCTGCTTCAGTCAAACACCTTTTGTGTTTTATTAGGAGACGCACAACAGTTCTTCTGTGGCTTTATAGGTAATATTTTCACTTACACAATTTAGCAAAATCAGACAATATTGTGTCTAATATAAACCATTAACTTCTTATTATTGAATTGTTGTAAATAAATCTCACATTTGGAACTGGTCAGTGTTCAAAAAATGCTGGGAAATCACTTCATGTAGCCCTAAGAGTGATTAATGATAAACCGTCTGGAAAAAAATACCGTTTTTAGAGAAGAAAAAAAAATCACCCACTGACTTTCAAAGCTAACGACTTTCTACTTCGAGGACCTTGATAGAAATGTAGTGGAGTGAAAAGTACAATATTTGTCTTTCAAATGTAGTGAAGTTAAAGTCATAAGTTCCCAGAAAAAATAATACTCAAGTAAAGTATAGATACTCAAAAAGTGTACATATGTACAATACTCAAGTAAATGTACTTAGTTACTGTCCGCCTCTGGTGGCTTGCCTGTAATTGCACCATGAAACTGGTAAAACAATTTCATTTCTCTGTATACCCATCTAATGTTGGAAAAACAATGCTGAAACTTTTCTTCAGAAAATGCTGAAGTAAGTTTAGCTCTTATTTGTCTTTATATTGTCAAGGTTGTTTATACAAACAGTGTTTGGGCAGACTCTGAGAATATTAGACAATTCTTTCACGATGTGTGGACTTACAGTATAATGAACAGGGTGGCATAAAGCAGCTCTAAATGTAATGTATAATGATCTGCAGAGGAATACTGCGGTGTAAAATATTGCTAGGAAGAGCTGCACCAATCCACACAAATGAATGTCTGACACATAGTAAATGCAACAGCGAGTGTGAATCTTATTCCTTCACTTTATTAAAGTCTCACACCTTCCACTGGACCAGGGCACACAGGGACAAAACATCAAGACAAACAGCCAAATAAAAGTAGTTGCACACAATAAAATGACAGCAAATCAAACAGATCAGGTCAAAAAGACCAGTCTCTCCAGCGTGGAGGTTGAAACGGGTCATTTAAAGTGCTTGAATTCATTCCTGTTAGTAAACATCTCTTCTGTACATACAAACATGTTTTCATGAAGCTATAATGGAGCAATGGTAGCATTCTGACAATGCCGCATACTCTTGGGTCACAACAGGTGAAAAACACGTCAAGACATGAACTATATGGAAGGAAAAATGGGAGATTTTTTAAAAAAGGAGTTCATGGCAAATGTTTATTATTACAGACATATTCATGCTATCAAAGAATCGACCAGGTGAAAATAACCCAGAGAAAGGCATACACACATGGGCAGCAAGTCATAAATGTATTTTACACAACAGCACAAGGTCTTTGTATGAGCGCATTTATTTTAGCAATTTGGAAATCTACTACCTAGTGTTATTATGGTGCAGGTAACTGTTTTTGATCATGTTTTTTTTCACACTGCAGCTCCTCAGTGGTGATTTGTTTAAGGAAATCTTGAGTTTGCAGATATTCCTGAAACGATGCAGTTTTTGCATCTCCGTTTATCCAAAAATGAAAATGTTATTACAAAATGTTATTACTTTTTTTTCAGTAGAACACAAAGATATATTTTAAAGAAATTGTTAACTGTTATTGTCTATGTGGTCAAAAACGTGAGCAGGGATCATTTTTGTGTCATTTCAACTTTGTCCATTGACTTTCATTATACAGGCATTTCGCTTCCTTCTTTTGTGTTCCACAGAAGAAAGTAGTTATACTTAGGAACGACATAAGGGATTTTTGATTTTTCTGTCTCGCCTCATTTGTTAGCAGGCAAACGAAAGAGAAGATGCTCCTATCTGTAAACAGACACCTCATTGACACGAGCAATTCACCTCTGACCACAGCAGACGGAATCAATGTACTTCTACGACTTTGCATTATCAAGACGACAACGTATTACGTGGGACCTCTCCTCCTGCACACATACAATGACAAAAAAATAGACAGAAAGAGAGAAAGAAATACAAACAATGTGCCTCCAGAGCATTACAAAACAAGCCCTCCATTGATTTTCTGCTTAGTGTAACCACAGAATTGGGTGAGAGAGAAACACACACACACACAAATATCCTTCTATTGATTTACTTTAGTTGGTTTTAGACATGGCTGCTTATCTCTGCTTAGGGTGTGTCTAGATGTATGTGCCCCACGTGAGAGCATGTTTTAATACCCAATGCCCCTCGTATGGTGGGGAAATGGAAGTAAATCGCTTTTGCTTTAGAATAAACATCAACATTGAAGGTTAAGGGTATATATACTGATACGTATATATACACTCTGATACATATATTGCACATAAACACACAAAGGTGGGTTCTTGCATAGTTGAAAATCATAGTACGGATAAGTCCATGTGCTTCCATGCATTAGATCTTGTTGTATATTTGTGTATTACTACTGTGTGCATTATGCATCAAGGCATGCCAAAAGCACAAAAACTCAAATCATTGACAATCTTATCAACCTTGAGACACATTTATGTAATCTGACCTTCCCTAAGGAAACCAAACCGGAAACCATCTTCCTTAGAAAACACCCAAAAGCAACCTCATCAAATCAATCTAACTTTACGACAAAGGACAAATGGTCCAATTTTTCCATAAATGGTGCTTTTTTTTTTTTTAAAGTAAAGCCAAAAATAAGTTTTTCCAAGACAAAAAGCTTTTTCAAAAATTAAGAACTTGCTCAAGTGTATATTTAAAGTTTCACTGCAAGAGTATTTCTGCTCCAAAGACGAGGCAAAACATTTTTCTTCCTGCAGCACTGGAACAGACTGAACAGCTTAATAAAGGCATTTTAACTGTAAACATCTTTATAACGTATAAATAATTAAAAAGCATTATAACAATTTTGTATGGAACTAATGGGGGGTGAAAAAGCAAGTTTATGGTTTGAGCATGCCATAATCCATAATCAAGAAAAAGAACCTTGTAAATACATGAGGCATAAGCCTAATTCAAATGAAAATCTGCCGATCATGACTGAAGCCAAGGTGAAAATAAAGGAAGCACTGACAGCGGCGTGTGCACCCTCCTGCCAAAACACTGTGTCTACAGGTCAAAGAGACTTTGTTGCACTGAAAAACAAGACATAGGAATGAGAATGCTGAAACAAAGAGATTTTGTAAGCTTGCACTGTTTTCTTCGTGTTTATGTGGTGAATTCAGACAAGGATGTGAAATGAGGCATAAAGTAATACATAAACAGATCAAATCACAGAAGACTGAGAAGTTTTCCTGTGGAAACTGGAGAGGAGACTTGGATCACATGATTCTCTCTCTCTTTAAGACAAGATCCGTGAGGCTGCGTAGACAATAATATGCAGTTAAACCTCAGGAGGTTGGTGATGTAAATGTCAGATTCACCCACTAAATGAGTTGGCGTCCTGAGGGCACATCGCTTGGGGAAATGGCCACACACTGAGGGTCTTGAATAATCTCCACAGGCAGTCTACGGCACAGCACTCACGTCTTTGACGTTTGTTGAGTATAAGTAAAAAGACTTCTTCAGTGCTTTCCATTGCTTGTTTTCTCTGCTTTTGCCTTCTCTTTCAGATTGAATTTCAATCTTTCCTTCAGTTTGTCAATCCATTAGGAGCTCAACTTGTCTGGATGATGTAATTGTGAATGGTAAAGGTTTCTTAGTGGTTAAAATGACTTTTAGTTCGAAGTGATAGAGTGGTTTTGTGCGACAGATGCGCTGATTGTGACTACTTTTTGTTGCATAGGTTGATGTGATAGCTTAGCTGCTTTGTTTAGCTTAAAACGTTGTCTGTCCACTAACACCACCATCTAGTGCAAGCCGCATGTGTGATCACGCGTTCAGGGAGGTAGCCTTATCAGTGTCTATGGCTGCAGCTGACGCTCAGTGGATCTTTGGCTTTGCAAGTCGTGTGGAGACACCGAGCGGTACGGAAGCATTGCGTTGTGGGTCAGTCACACTCCGGACTACTGCTGGCCAAGGCTGAGATAGCCAGCCGCGAGTAACGACGTGGTTCCCTGCACTGAAGCATGGCAAACCTCTGGACGGAGGTGGAGGAAGAAGCGGCTGGGCCTTGTGGTTCATTGAGGGTCCTGGATTTGGGTTTGACCCACTACCGCCCCCTATAGACAGAGCAGGGAGAGTTACCCGTTTGTGTAGACGTGGAGGCTGCAGGACGCGCGGGCTGAAGAAGGACGAGGGGTGAGGGGTTTGCAGGAGTTTGCTTTGATGGCTTTCAGGGGTCGGTCTCACAATCTGTTCTCCAGCCCCTGGTGAGTCATTCTCATTGTTGTCTTGTATGCGAAGGTGGGTGCTAAGCAACCGGCTCAGCTCTTCTGGGTCAGGCAAAGATTTCAACTCCACATGAGGGTCTTTAGCAGGAGGAAGAATTGGATCGGTGCAGGGGGCTGAAGAACAGGACGTAGGAGGCCGTTCCTCTTTGGTGCAGGCATCATTGTGGCCCCCGGTGAGGACTGTTCTTGCTAGTTTTCCCTGGATGAGGGGCTTGTTGGGGATGTGACTGATGGGCTGAAGTATTTGAGGCTGCAGAAGACAAAACAGAACATTATTTCTCAGGACGGAGATCTGCGATCAGGGGCTACAATCCCATAGTAAGTGTATGGGACTGATATCTGTGTGACTTTCAAATTGTCCCGTTCATAGAACAGCTTATAAGCGCCTATAAAGAGACTTTAACTGACAGCAACTGTTGCTAGTCCTATTCACACAGCACTGGGTAGTCAAATTCAGTCTTAAAATTTGACTGTGAGTCTAAGAAATTAAATAGTCACTTTAAATGTAATTAAACAGTTACAGAGTGTGGTTATCTCCTTCAGAACCAAATTGTGCTTGAACCAGGGTTGTGCACAATTCAGAAATTAATTGAGAAGGCTTTTTCAATTCCAATTCAATCCCTGAATTTAAAATGAGATGATGAAAGGATGATGAGATGATGAAGGATTGAAAAAGGATGAATTTTGGTTGCATAGAAGTAGAATTAAAATGAACTGAAATCCAAATAAATTCATTAAACAGTCACTTTTGTCACACTTTAGTTTGGGGACCAATTCTTACTATTAACTAACAAATAACGATGACTACTGCCTCAATAACCTCTTAATTTTCTGCTTAGCAATAGTTAGTAGTTGTTAGATTTAGGTATGGGGCAGGATTGCGGGACCTAAAATATGGTCATGCAGACTAAGGCATTAATATAAGCTTCATAAGTACTAATAAACAGTCAATATGCTAGTAATATGCATTCTAATAAGCAACTAGCTAACAGTGAGAATTGGTCCCTAAACTAAAGCGTTATCGTCATTTTTAAACAAGAAATGTCACAGATGTCACCAGGGTGCACAAAAAAAACACTTTATTTCCCAGAATGCACTTCTTTTTGAATCCCTTTTAAGAGAGTTCAACAGTGCCCACCCACTTGGTTCTGGAAGCATTTTTTCCATAGCAATTAAAAAAAAAATCTCAGTTAAAAAGTTATTAGTCATGAACCAAACCAACCTCTCACAAAGGTGAATCATTCAAAAAGATGAGAAATATAAAACTATTCATTTAAATATGTTAATTACATATAAAAACTAAATATACACAAATATTTAAGTAGTTTGAGTGTAGGGCATACTTCATCGGATTGGACGGATACTGAGAGGTATTTTGGCATGATTTGCTTGCAGTTATTTTCTGACTGGTGGATATTTCTTTGCATAAAAATAATTTCTTCATGTAATATAGTTTTCCACCCATAATTCTGCTGTTAAACACAATATTTAAAAAACAAGTTGAAATAATGCAGGCCGATGGCTTCAACAAAAGCATAAATCATCGATTAACAACCATGTAGCTCAAAGCAGGTCTGTCTTTAAAGGTTTATCATTAAAAAGTTAGTGTTAAAAATCAATTCCCCTTCAATGGGATTTTTACTTCTGGAACCAGTTGCACTCATAATTCAGTACATTTCTCCATCTGTAATTCAAATTCAGCTTCCTGTGGGGTGTGGCCAATTTAATTCACATTCACACGCATAAACTGAAATTCAAGCAGATTCTTTAATTCTGAACTTTGCACAAGTCTGTTTTTTAGCATTATAAAACAGCACTGGCGGCAACTGTTTCCTTCTGCTCTGTGAACATCGCCAGGATGTGTTGAGATGCGTGTGGTCAGCAGGCTGTTGAGCTGCGAACCAAACGTTACTGTAATAGAATGGTTTTGGGTGGATGAGCACGTACGCAGGTGAGTTTCAGTAAAGACAACTGTGCACCATGACAGAGGCGCAAGTCCTTGTTTCCTTCACTCTCTTTGTCTCTCATGGGCTGCTAAAGAGCACTGCTGTACTGAAACCACAGCACCCCCTACTGGCTAACTCTGGTTTCATACAGCCTGCCACATTTCTGTTCAGATGGAGACCATTTGTAAGGTGTGTATTATCTCCAGATACCATCACAAAACAATTTTATCACATGCCCGACCACACAGGGCTGAGAAAATGTCAGAATTAAAAAGACGTAAAGCATTACGATTAAAAACTCCACTAGAGCGCAAAAAAACAACAGCTGAAAAACAAGAACACGGAACAAGAGTACAGTACAAGTATAAGGGACTAAAAGTGTGTGGCGAGGGTGTGTGCGCAGGAGAGTTGTCAGCGAATTTAGTAGCATGAGGTACTGACGGTCACATCCTCTACGTGACATCACAAAGTCTCTGGGGTGAAAGACCTGTACGGACAACCTGCAGATAACATCCATAATGCATCCATTTCTGGCTGTCTCTGAACAGCAGAGTCTCAGGGACTGTAACCTTTTTTAAAACTCTGTGAGGATTTAAAGTCCCGTTTACATGGATTATTGCTCAAAACGCAGATTATCTGAAATTTAATTTCCATGCCTTTTTTCTTAAATTTGCATAAACATGAAACCTCTCAGTGGTCACCTTCCGGTCACTTTGGTCATTACAAATCACTGTTAATGTGAATGGGGCTTAAAAATGAGAACAGATGTGAAGTGCGCCTCCTATGTGTTCCTACAACTTCGACTGATAACTATTAAAACAGATATTAATGAGCTGTTTAAACCAAGATATGTTTTTTCTCATTTAATTAATTTTAATGTCTTGCTTTATTGGTGAAACCCCCAGTTCCAGAGGATGACATTCCCATAAAAAGATGACTTGGCAGATAAATTGTTTATAGTGTGTAAAATATTTATTGAAGAGTGGTGTGCTGTTATCATCTTAGCTTGTTGTTTTAACACCATTTCTGCACTTTCATAAAAGCAATAAGACACTCAAGGACACTTCTACAGTGATTTTACTATGGTTCAGGTATGTTCTTAAGCATAATGCAAAGATGAGTACCTAAAACACACTTAACTGAAGTAAAATTGCTGGAATGAACAGCCCCACAGCCTTATTGCTTTTATAAAATGAGAGCAACAGCATTATGATAAATGACACCAAAGTTCAGTAAACAATTTGCACATGATAAACAATTCTTGTGCCAAGAAATATAGTTCATTATACTGACTCTAGGCCGTTTTGGGGTTGCCAAGCAACATAGCAACTTTAATACAGAATTCATCACAGGCGTGTTTATATCGGCTTCAAACAAGGCTCATTTAATAAGAATTTGGAGTTGAAAATATCTGTTTCATAATACAATATTAACATCATGAAAACAAAGGAATCATGCGGCACCAAACAACAGCCACAAGACAGTAAAATAAAAAAAACCAAAGACGTCAAACAGATTTCATGCTGCTCTGCCTTTGTGGACTGATTCAAAATCTTTGTAAAACCTAAACTTTTTAAAGGAGTTTCTGTATAAGTACCTAAAGTATCTGACATGTTTCCAGAAGAATGAGGACCAGGTTATAGATTGATTCTTTACAGAGCAGGGCTCAATATTAAGGACGGCTGAGCAGACCAATGCAGAGTTGTCACTATACTTATATAAATGGATTACATATGTTGTGTTCCGATGGCTTTGTGTGATTTATCGAACATTGTTAAATTCTGCTGATAAATGTGACCCTGGAGCACAAAACCAGTCTTAAGTCGCTGGGGTATATTTGTAGCAATAGCCAAAAATACATTGTATGGGTCAAAATTATTGATTTTACTTTAATGCCAAAAATCACTAGGATATTAAGTAAAGATCATGTTCCATGAAGATATTTTGTAAATTTCCTACTGTAAATATATTAAAACTTAATTTTTGATTAGTAATATGCATTGCTAAGAACTTAATTTGGCCAACTTTAAAGGTGATTTTCTCAGTATTTTGATTTTTTTTGCACCCTCAGATTCCAGATTTTCAATAGTTGTATCACGGCCAAATATTGTCCTATCCTAACAAAGATAGGCTTATTTATTCAGCTTTCAGATGATGTATAAATCTCAATTTCGAAAAATTTACCCTTATGACTGGTTTTGTGGTCCAGGGTCACAAATACATCTGAAAGGAAAAGTGAATATAACACCACTAGAGATGAGGAGGTGCCAAAATTGCAACAATGACTTGTAGGATGCTTACAAGACAATCAAATCAAAATGTTTGCTTTGCACATTGTGGCATTTTTTTAGAACAGTTTAGAAAAATACTGTGAGTTCATAGTTGCATAATTTCCAGCTAGTATTGTGAGTTTTTGTAAAGAACATTTTTTCTGAAGCAACTAGAAAGTTTTCAAGTTTTTTGTTTGTTTTTTGTGATGGGGTCCATGAAAATCTGACGTTCTGGCCTGTTTTAGCCTAGAGGAAAAACATCCTTTATCGTTGAGCCCAAAAAAAAAAGCATCCATATTTCAAAACAGAGCAGGGAGAATCAACTGCCTCCAAAATGTTTCACAAGATAACTTCGTAACACGATTGCTGCATATTACAACAGAAAGAGCTGTAATAAAGTCTGGGTTTAATTCAGTCATTCATCTTACTGTAAGATTTGGCTGATGAAATGTGGCCATTTTGATAATAGAAGAGTTTTTAATATCCTGGGTTTGTAGAAGTGGAGGTTATAATGTGAATCCCAAAGGAGTTATCGGATCATTTTTTTTTAACTGTCCTCTAAAACGGTTCAGCGTCTCCCTGTGCAGTCACAGGACCAAGGACAATTGCACTATGGGCTGATTCTTTGCTTGTGTGCATGTTTGAGATGTTTAAACCCTGGTTCACCTGTGCAGACTGATGACTGTTTGGATAAAGTCTCTGGAAGCAGGCTGAGAGAAGCAGTGGATCTCTCAGAACACACCAGTAAACACTGTAGCTCCATCAGAGCAAAGACAGATCTGACACAACCACAGCAATCACAGCCCACGGAGGAAGAGATGAACAGAAATATCAGGACTTAGGATTAGGATAGGTGGTTTGGGCAAAAGAGTCAGGGAAAAAAAGTCTCATGCCACCTGTATTTTGTTTTGTATGTGAATGTGGGGGAAAAAATTGAATCCATGCTTCAAAAATAAAAATCAGACTCAAAAAAAGCATGCATCATTCATTCATGTCACGTGACCATGCAAAGGGTGAAGCTTTTAGTAGATGTT